TTCCTATGAGTCTTTCCCTAGTGAAAATGGCCTGAGAGCAAATTAGCTTCCAATTGAGCCACTGCTTCCCATAATGGAGAGAGAGAACTCATTGCGTCTCACCACATAGGCTGTGCAGGCAAACCACTGCTGTGGGAGAAATGCTCCTCCACAGGTCTTGCTATGCTGACCGCAAGGGTTTCCACGGAGGCTGCAGAAAGCAATGAGAAGCAGATCCTGCACTCTCAGGTAGCTCCTCACATGGGGCATCCAAGCTCCAAATGGGCCATATTCCCCAGAGATGCTGCCAGGATGGTTTCTATTCCCAGGGCTGTCCATACTTAGGGTGCAGCCCTTAATCTGACTACCCTTAACCAGATTTCAAGTCCCACTCAGCAGCAGGGAGTTATTGTCCCTGCAGAGACTCTGCCCAGGCTTGGCTTGGTGGCATATGCCTTAATTCCAGTCCTGGGGAAGCTGAGGCAGGAAGATTGTGGATTCCAGGCCAGTCTGGGTTATGTATAAGACTCTATCTCAAAACAAACAAACAAGCCCCAACCAGAAGGGAGAAAAATTCTCCATAGGCAAACAGACTGGATAAGACTTTGTAGTCCAACAAAGGGCAGCTTCCAAAATCTGACCTCTGACTCATGTTCCAGAAACTACTAGAACCAAGTAAAGGAGAACAGATATAGTCCGTAATTTAAAGAATGCTTCCAGGAAAATGGTAGTGTGGAAGTGACCGCAGACCACCTTCCCAAGTTCCCATTAAAAATCTGTAGAACCAACCGAAAATGAAAACATTTTGAAACATTTCTGAATAAGAATGAGCATGGCTTAGATTCTGGTAGGAAAGTCTCCAAAAGTCAGCAATCTGTGTCTCCCTGGAGCATCGTCTCTTTCGCATAGCCCTTTCCTGGTGCGTATTCTGATCAGTGCCTCCAGGCTCTGGGAGCCCTCAGTCCCACGCTTGTCTGAGGCACTAACAGCTACCAGCCAGTCCCCACCCTCACAATTCTAGCAGGACTGCTCTCTCACCTGTGTGCCCAAGCCCCTCAAGCCTGAGAGAGTAAATGAGCCATTGCTCCAGTCACTCTGTAAATGTTAGACAGCCACTCCATTCACAAGCTGCCTTTATATCTGCCTGAACCTGAAAGGGCCTGTGGCTACTAGAGAATCTGAAAAGAAAGGGTAACTGGCATCCAAGAAGTAGTACACACTTGGAGTTCACCAAGTTCAACACCAAGGATATTACTATCCACATCCTTGAAAAGGAATTTGCAAGGAACCGAGTTAAGGAAGAAAGAAAAACAAGAACAAAAAAGACATTTAGAAAATATTAAAAACTGAAATGTCACATATTAAAATCCACAAAACAGAGACAAAGTTGTACCCACAAGCATTGTCCCCGTAAATGACTCATTATTTGCAAAAAGAATGAAAATGCATGAATTAAACATTAAAAACTCACACTTCATAAAACATTTATTTACAATGAATATATAATTAAAAAAAAGACAGAAGATAGGTTCCATATTGACAACAAATTTAAGAGCTAGTTTAGAAACAAAAAAAAGTAGGAAAGACCCTGGCAAATATAATCACAAAAGGAACACATCTGAACAAAATGATAAATCATAACAAGGGTATATAGCAAAATATTCAGAGGAATTATAAAACTAAATAAAGTCCAATTACATAAGAAAAATAAAAACAAACTATTCCTTTCTCCATTCCACTATCTAATTCCTTATACACATCACCCCAGAAAAAGATTTGCAGACATCAGTGACTTTATTAGATAATTCTCCCTCTCTCTGTCCCCTCCCTTAGAACAGCTCATTTCCAGGCTATAGAAAACATTCCCAGATATGGAAAATATGGGAAGCCATTCAAGTCATCAGAGAGAGAAAACAAATGTTGACAATTTTATCAAACATAGCTTGAGATATATGAATAAATATACATACATAATTTTAATATATCAATAGTTTTATAAAACAGCAGCTAGTTATATACTGGAAGAAAAAAATCACATCTACAATTACAATAAAAAAGAAAAACTCACAAACACAAATTTAACAAGAAATGTGGAAGATCTATAGCAACAACACTTTAAGGCAATTCTAACATAAAAGAGGATTTTTAGCAAATGAAAACCATGTCATGTTCTCAAGGAGTTCCAACATCATAACACTGCAATAAAACTAGCCAAGATGATTATACAATTTAGATAGAACAATAAACGAATGTGAGCCATAAAAATTCTCAAAAGGAGCAATGAGGGTGGTGCCCATGCTCAATGACAGCATTGGGACAGATGGATAGGCATTGGAGGTGAACATATGGAACTGTATCTATTTATAGAATCCTACATTTGGATAAATCCCAAATTAATCAAAGTTTTATTTTTTTTAAAGAAACTATAAAAAGCACTCTAAAAACATTGTATTATTTAAAGCTAGAGCAAGTCTAACCACAAATCTAAATCCATAGACATAAGAGAAGTTCGTTAAAGCATATTCTATGAAAAGAAAAACACCACCACCATATGCAAAATTAAGACACAATTGACTCCTGCTGATGGTGTGGAGGTGGGAGGTTGGGTAAACCTTCCTGCAGACAATGAGTATAAACTGGACGAAATACATAAGGACAGTTACTTAAAGGCCCTCAGAAGTGAGCAAAAGAAGGCAGAAACTGAAGGAAAGTTTCATTTTAAAGACAGTTAACTGCAATGCATAAGAATTGTGGAAATGTTAAACTCTCGTAGTCTGGAGGCTCTCTCCAACCCCCACTCCTGCCTCGGCACTTGACAAATGGCTGCTGCCCTGAAGATATGTAGTGGTGGAGGATGGATGTCAGAGGAGCTCCAAGTTTAAGGAGAAAATTCTGGAAACCAGCAAGAGAGAAGTCAACAAGTGGGCTAGAAAACAGTGATATACCTAAAGTGCTAAAAGAGAAAAACTGTTAATCAAGAATTCTACAGTCAATGAAACTACCCTCTCTGAAAAGAATACAAAATAAAGACATTTGTGATCAAGGTAAACTAAGAGAAAATGTTGGCGATAGAACCGACCCACAAGAAATAAAGCCAAAGGTGAGCCGGGTGAAGTGGTACATGCCTGTAATCCTAGCACTGGGGAGGGTGAGGCAAGAGAGAGTTCCAGGTTTTCCTGGGCTACATAACCAGAGTCTATCTCAAAAAAAAAAATAAATAACAGGCTGAAGGGAAATATGAGCAGGTATGTCTTGAAAACACAGGTGTCCACTTAAAGCAAAGATTATAAACTATATTGTTGTTTTATTATGCATATTAATATAAATATATGATAATTAGAAAGATAATTAAATGTTATAAGACTCCTGTGTTTTACCTGAAGCAGTTCAGTACTAACTGTAAGTAAATTATAATATATTGTAGACACATAATTTAATCCCTAGAGCAACTACTAAAAAATAATGCAAAGCAGAAAAGCTAAAAATGCAGTAGAGGATTAAAATGAACTGTTCAACATGCCTGATTAACATGAAAGGAGGCAGGAGTGGAAGAATAACAGAGGAGAAAGGAACAAAGAGGCAGGTGAAATAAACAGAAAACCAATTTAAAAGATGGCAATCTGGGCATTTGGAAAGCAGAGGCTTGCATGTTCGAGGTCAGCCTGAGCTGCATAGTAAGACCTTGTCTAAAAAACAACAACAACAAAAAACACCCAAGTATAACTATGATTATACAAAATATAAATGGAAAAGACTGGATTGATAGGCTGCATAAAAAGCAAAAAACAGCTAACATGCTTTTTATAAGAAATACTATATAAATACAAAGACATAAAAGGGTTGGAAGTAAAAGGATGGAAAAAGATATTCCATGAGAACGAAGAACATAAAGCTGAAGTAACTATACTAATAACAGACAAAATAAATACTAAAATGGGTATTAGTGCAAATGAAGACATTTCATAATGGTGACAGAATGAAGACACCAGGCCACATCATCATCCTAAATGTGTGTGAGCCCAAAATAGCACTTTGAAATGCACAAAGCAAAACTGACTAAAAGGGAGGAAGAACAGTCAAATCTACAATTGTACATGATGATTTCAAGACAGGGTCTCCCTGTGTAGTCCAGCCTGGGCTCAAACAATGATTCTCTTGCCTGGACCTCCCAGGTGCTGGGATTGCAGGTGTGCACCTGCTGGCACAAACCAATACAAATATTTTAACTACATAAACTGGAGAAAAAAATTGAATGCTAGCAAGAATGTGAAATGATTAATTATTAGAATACACTGATGATACATTGCAGAATAAACTGATAAAGAGCCTTTGGAAACCACTTTCCAGTATATATGTATGTATTTTAAATTATTGAAAGGTACATTTTGGCCTAGGAAATCCATTTCTAATAATTTATCCTCAGAAAATAACAACTTAAAAATAGCTTTCTGCAGAAAAGATATTCGTAACAATACTACTAACTGCTAGTTAAGTAAATTATGATTTAATTACCTGATAAATATTATATAGACATCGAAATGGATTCCTATAAAACATATGTTGTTTTAGACCAAAAAAAATTTACAATCAAGACACAAAATTGTCTGTGTACTATTTGTTGTAAATGTTATTTTAAAAGTCTTTTAAAAGGCTGGGCACCAGTGGCTCGTGCCTGTAATCCTAGCTTCTTAAGAGGCAGAGATCAGGAAGATTGCAGTTTGAAGGGGCAAATAGTTCACGAGACCCTATCTCAAAAACACCCAACACAAAGAACAGCTGGCAGAGTGACTCAAGTGGAAGAGTACCTGCCTAGAAGGTGTGAGGCTCTGAGTTCAAATACCAGTACCACCCAAAATAAAAAAATCCCGTAAAGTCAAATGCAGACTTTATGTACAGAAATAAAAGTTACTGGCAGCATTTGGGGAATTGGGATGATTGGGGCCTTCATGTCTGACTCTGTCAACTCAGTCATCATTCTGAGTCATACAATTCTGGACAGGTGAACAAAGGGAAATACTTACTCTGCAATGTCAGGCTCTAGACTTTTGCTGTCCTTGGCACGAATCATGAACACACAGTTGACGACAACAGTGGAGATGATGAACACACTGAACAACGTGACTGCGCTCATTAAGGCAGATACACTGCGGGACGTGCCAGGGACTGCTGGCCTTTTCCGCAGTGAGAACTGGCTGAGAACAACTCACCTGTTTCCTCCTCTGGAGAATTTTCCCTTCTGACTGGCAGCCTCCTCACCTGGAGAGCTACACAGTCTCTTCCACAGGGACTAAGTCTATGGTTGACATAGACTTAGAAAAATCTGGCCCCTTGCTTCAAAGTCATACAAAAACTCACAGCCTTGCTTGGCTCTCCCCGCCCCCTTCCGCCCCATAATGTTGGGGATGATGGGGAACCCGGGCCTCATGCCCCCTAGGCCAGTGCTCTACCAGAGGGCTGTACCCCCAGCCCATGTGGCTCTTCCTTTAGCCCCATCCTGCTCCCCTTCATCCTCCAGAGACCTTTTCTTTACTAAATCCCCATCTCAGGGCTCATTTTCAGGAAATCCAACATAACTAGTTATTCATTCTTCTCAATATTTTATTATTTCTACCAGTCCACACCTTTTTCACTTCCCCTTATCTCAAATGGCCTAGTGTGCCCCCACCCTTTGTGGATATCAGAAATGCTTAATAATTCTTGCCTGTCTTTACCCTTTGAAACTGAAGGTGTAAACTCCAAGTCTTAAGAGCCTGGCAAGTCACACACCTTTGTGAAATGGGCTGGTGCTGCCCACAAGAGGGGTGCAGATGTGATAAAACAGAGCTTGCATGCCCCCACTAAAAGATGCAATGGTTTCTCACCATAGCTATTTTTGCCAGGTAGGAATGCAGGCCTTGCCCTGCCAGAAGTCTTATTTTTTTTCCAAGAGAAGCCAGACATCTGAACTATTCATGTTAAAAAATGTTTCCAAAGCATTTCAAACATTCAGCCTCTCAATATGGTGCACAGGTAACCAGCAGACTGCCCTTGTTTTAGGGATCCACAGAGATGTCCCTTCCCTTGAGGGGCCTCCTTGATGCATCCAACAGTACCTCTGCACATGGACTCTTCATAGTACTGACCTCACTTTAGAAACTGCCTGCCTCAGTCTACCTCCTTCTGAAGCCAAGGATCCCAGAGCAGGGGTCACACCCAGCACCCTGCACAGTGCCTGCCACATGGCAGCCGACAGCACTCAGCCAGTGTTTGTGGAAGCAATGATAAACACGAACACCCTGGGGCTGTGCACTTTTCACACCACCTAGGCTTAGTAAAAGGATATGAATGGACAGAGAGTCTAATGGCCAAACTTCTGATTGGATTGAAAGGCCCGAAAATGAACAAGGCATGCTTGGCACTGAAGCGGTATATTGTCCTCTTCTTGTTCAGCACCATAAATGTCTGCAAAACACCAAACACAATAGGAATTAAATGCAATAGTAAAACAGTATGTATCATGAGCTCATTTAGAGAAAATTCCAGGGAGCCACTGGCTCAGTCTTGGCTTAGTTTATGGTGAGAAATTCAGTGTCTGACCACAGATTATTCTTCTGAAGTCAAGTACTTTCTTTTCTTTCTTTTTTTTTTTTTTTTTTTTTTGTGCAGTACTGGGGTTTGAACTCAGGGTCTTGCATTTGCTAGGCAGGCACTCTACCACTTGAGCCATGCCCTAAGTCCTTGCTAATTTTTGGGTAAGTTCTCATATTTTTGCCCAGGCTGCCTCAGACCACTATACTTCTACCTATGGCCTCCCACATAGCTGGGACCACAGGTGAGCACCTTGTTGATTGAGATGGGTCTCACTAACTTTTTGCCTGTGCTGCCCTCAAACCACTATCCTCCTGATTTCTTCCCCTCTGAGTAACTGGGGTTATGGGCATGAACCCTGCCATGAGGTACTTTCTGAAGAGCTACACTGTGACTCTGGAGTCTAACAGATCCTATCCCCCCATGTGGCCTGGATCCCAAGATAACTGTTGTGCTGTGGATTCTTCACTGGTTGGGATACTCTGGAGAAGCCAGAGATGGAAAACATGTGCAAAATATGGGGTGTGAAGTAGTAAAAGGGGTTAAAAAAAAGCCTTAATGCTGAACCCCCCGGTAATTATCTGTGAAGACAACAACTGAAAGGAATGCAGATGGGAATCAAGTTTGAATACTCCCATTTAAATTACTATGGTTATCAATGACATTTTTTTGGTGGTACTGGGGTTTGAACTCAGGTCCTCGTGCTTCCTGGGCACTTGAACCACTCTGCCAGCCCATTAATAAAACCTTTAATGACTCATAGAATACTAAGGGACTCACAGAGTCCATGTGGTTGGTTATGCCACAGATCTGAATAGTTCTAACAAAATAACCAATCAATTCTAACCTTTAGCCTCTTCCAGAAAAAGGTTACCAGGATTCTCAGACTTGCTCTGCCATGCCCACACACAGACAGGGAACTTTACCTGTGGTTCTTAACTAATAAAAGAGGTAGGTACTGCTCCCACAGAAGGCATCTGGAAATGTGTGGGCATTTTGGTTGTCTGTCACAGTGACTGGGGGCTCAACTGGCTATTGGAGGGTAGGTTCAGGGGTGTCAAACAAACACAGGACAGACTTGCTCAGTGATGAGTTATCTCACACAGCCAATTACGCCAGTGAAGAGTATATACCTGTGCCCACTTCCTCCAGCATGTCTCCCTGGGCAGACCCTGAACATCAGCCTGTCACTCACAAGCTCTAAGATCAAGCCCCAGACTTCTCTTTTCCCTTGTCCTCTTTCTGTCTGTTCCAAGACTGTAGGTTACATAAGCGTTCATGGAGTGAGGACCTATCTCCACCTCATTGATCCTTTCATGTTTTCAAAATGGCTGCTTGACCACATAGCAGGTAAAGCTAGGATCCCTGTTCTCAGACAGGACAGACCTCTGCACCCAGGCCCAAAGATAACAGAGTAAGTGTGGCCTTGAATCAGTACCAGAACATGGCCACTGCAAGCCATCAGCCTTTCCTAAGTGAGTTGCTGGGCGGTACTGGTCTGGGGGCCATCTGGTTGCAGGAAGTAGTTGGATAGCATCTTTTCCTTTGCCCCAATGGCAACAAAAAAATGCACCACAAGGTTCTTTCAATGCTGTGAGCCCAGGAGCCCAAGACCTGTTTGGGGAATTCTGTGCTCTTTCTTTGAATAAACAGTTAATTTTAGAGCAGAAAGCAAATGTCTCCTTAAGTTTAGTCACCCCAAATAATAGGTGAAATGTTCCAGCTCTTTACCCTTTGATTTTGATACTTTATTGATACTTCTTCTTACTGCTTTAAATAATTTAGCTAATGGTGTATTTAACTGCACTTGCCAAGGATTAAATGATTATATTGGTGGGTGCCAGCCCCTACTGTCTACTTGCTGACACGTCCCCACTCGTTTCCCCTGTGGCGCTTCAACATGGAGCTTCTAAAGAGAAGAAGTGGTCTATGTGGCCGATGACTGAGTTGGGATCCTAGCTTCACCATCACTGGCTATGGCCCTGTGTGAGCACTTGCCCATCAAGGCTTTGGTTTCTTCATCTGAAAGGTGAAGTTCTGGTGATGATCACATGTGCCTCCCCTAACAGTTGAGGGCACCAGCTATATGAGACCTTGTGTGCATAGAGCTCAAAACAAGTGTCATGTCCTCTGATTTAAAGGGAGGACACAGGCTGAGAGGGGAGGGACCTAGGAAGTCCACCAAGGATAGAACAAGACTATGTGCAGGTGCTACTTGAGTGGGTGTCTTCTGTCCAGCACTGAAGCAGAGGGAAGCCTCTCCCAATCAGCTCAACCCCAACCACTGTGCCTTATGAAGCCCAGGATTCAGGAGCACAGGGGCAAGGAGAAATATTGGAGAGCTTTTTCTCCTTCACTTCTCTTCCCTTTGCTTGTTCTTTCAACTCACACCCTACTTTCCTCTATATGCTTAGTCCCTAATTGATCTGGCAACTCTAATATGCCCAATTTTATGGCATGCAAACCAGGCAACCTTTCTCTGAGAGGTCAGCGTCTAACTGGGTGCCAGCAAAAGAGGCTCTCAGCATCTCATATTTTTCTAGGACTTCCCCCAGGTCCCAGCTTCCTTCCCCTCCCACCTCAGTCTGAAGAGGTAGGTTTTCCTTCCTCTGTTGGATCACACAAGGAAATAATGATGGTGTTTTTTATAAGTCTTCAGAGGACTGTGGCCTCACAGCCCCAGGCTTTCGAGGACCAAGAGGAGTCCAGAGTTTACATTTCTTCCTTCTGGAGCCCCTTTAAGGAATTTTGATAGAATTTTCTACATGAATTATATTTAGGTAGATGAAACAGCAAGGCTTTGGCATATTTGCCTGAGATTTACATATAATCTGCATGTGGCCAAGTGCTCAACATTTTCTTAGACATAATTTATTGTGCTTCTATTATGCACCAAGTGTTAGTTTGACCTTCATTAATCGCATTTAATGGCCTAGAAAGCCCCTTGTTCAAAAGTTGTTCATGGTAAAATCTCATTGCTGAAATGGGCATTCCTGGAGAGCGATGTTAATCGTGACTTGAGTTTATAAGGTAGTTCCCCAGCACATCTAAGCCATAGGGTAAGAAAGTCAGGCACGATTCCCATCTCAGACAGGAAGTGAGGACTTGTGAACTGACTTTCCAGAGTCACAAAGCCAGGCACTGAAATGGCCTACACCTCCCTTCCTGACTGCTAGCGCAGCCTCTTTTCACACACCGCTTTGACTTTTCAGTTCTTTTACCCTTTCTGCTGCCCTCCTCCTCTTGTGCATCAGAGAGGACTGAAAGGGGTTCTCAGGCCTATGAAGGCAATGACAGGGGCTGACAGCAAAGGAGAGGTGCTGTAGAGGTGCCTCTACAAACCCAACGCCAACTCTGACTTCAAGATTGGAACACGCCAGTGTCCCCCTACCCCTCACCCCATGGAAGTACCTTGTGATTTCTGTAGAATGGGTCCAAGTCTTCTAGGGGCTTTGCTATCAGCTCACGGGGAATGTTGCCATAGAGCTTGGGCAACTTCCTGGAAGACTTTAGGTCAAGCTGAGGTCGAGGCTGGGGTTCAGATACTGTCTTATCTTTGGACTTCTTTTTCTCCTTTTGGATGGCGATCCGTTTCTCTATTGCAGCCAGAGAGTCAGGAGTGAAGGGGCGGAAATTTCTCTCATCTGGGAAGATCACTGGGTAGCACCTGTCGTCCATCTTCACCCTTAGGACAGAGGTAAGCTGCAGACCCTCAGAGAGCTCTCAGGAAGTAGGAACAATGTAGTCTGCCCTGGGTTTCACTGTCAGAGGATGGCATCATAGGGATCTATAAGGACTGAGGCTGAGGTGAGGGGGCTTGCATACCCACTGCCTACAGGGCAGTTCAGAAGACCACCATTGTGTGGCTACCATGGAGACTTTGGGCCTAGATAGGACCAAAGCAGGACATGAGTCCTGTGGGACCTGGACAAATGTGGGAAACTGAGTTCAGAAGCAAATGAACAGCCTAAGACTGAAACCCAATCACAGAGCATGCTATTAAGGTTAAATGGGGCCAGTTGAGAGCAGACAAGCAGCCACCACTGTGCAAACAGGCTGGGAAGGAACAGGAAGCAGGCCATAACTGTGGTATGACATAGCAGTCATGTTTTCCAGGAGAGGAGGTTTCATGGACTGGAATGGCCAGATAAGGCTGTAGTCAGCAGAGAGCATGAGCAGGCCTGTAATCCTTGGACTATGGACTTCCCCTGAGGGTAACAGAGAATTGCTAGACATTTTTGTTTTCATTATTATTATTATTATTATTATTACATTGGAGTAATATTATCAAGTTTTTAAAAAAAATTCCTCCAACTGTTGGTTGTTGACAGAGCTTGAGATAGAAGAGTGATGTGGGTAGAAGGCTATTATCAGAAAAATGATCTCAGAATCTGTTACAACAAATCAAACCACGGAGGATGACATAATGGAAAGGATAAGTTGAGATTACTTAAGAACAGTTGTGACAGGGAGATTGTCCTTGCTAGGTTCCCAGCTGGGGCAGCTTCGTAGACAGTGGTGCCACTCACTGAGGTAGAGAGCATTAGGGAAGGAGGAAGCCTTGGGGAAATAAATTAGGCCAAAGACACACAGATTCTAAGCTGCTGGCAAGGCCTGCAAGTAGAGAGAAGCAGGGAAATCTTGAGTTCTGTGCTTGAGTACAGGGAAATCACAATTTACAAAAGTGCAGTCAAAACTTGTCATTAAAATCACTCAGGAAGGACTATTGGGCAGGCATCCCAACTCACTGCTCAGTCAGCTTGTCTTTCAGTGCCCATACCAGCCGTTCTTCAGCTAAGCCCAACAAGGCAGCTGGGTTGCATGTGAGGATCATGCTAAAGGCGGTGTGTGTCCTTAGGTACACAGTGTTTGGGCCAATGCCATGCTAATACTGTCTAAGTCATATGTCGAGTTAAGTGTGGGAGCATAAATTCACTGCCTTCTATCCTTTTTGGGTCAAGCTTGTTATTGAAGGGCCAGGATGATGGAATTGCTCATACTGTTTAAATCAGCCCCCCTACCATAATCCCATAACATTGAATTTGTATAAATGAAGCAGGCATATAATGGGGCTCCATTGCATTTGACCCTAGACCTCAAGAAAGATATTTAAGTTTTTTGTAATCAACAGAATATGGGTGCTAGTTTATCCTACAAAATATATGTATGTGCTGAGAAAGACCCTGGATAGGAAACACTGAAGATTCTACAGAGGGCCCACTGAAGGAGTGCTGCTCTCATACTGTGACTATGAAAGAAGAGACTGAAAAACTCTGATCATGCCATTTTGACTCTGGGGGATATTTTACTGGGTTCTTGAGGAGAAGAGACTTGATAAAAATAAATAACCCAAAGTTAAACTGACAACCCCTGAAATCAATTAAAATTAACATTATAATTTGTTATAGATGATAAAATAATTAAAGAGCCACACCTTACAAGTAACATTACAAACTGCAGGGCTGGCAGAGTGACTCAAGTGGTACAGTACCTGCCTAGCAAATGTGAGGCCCTGAGTTCAAACCCCAGTGCTGCCAAAAAAAAAAAAAAAAGAGCAAACTACAAAAATTGACTCAGGAAAAGAAAGACTTATAAAAATTAGCAACCCGAATAAATTTGACAAAATAAAACTATATGCAATAAAGTGTTTTTATTAACTGAAACCACTTGATAGAAAAATCAAATATTCTTTAATAAAAATACATTCAAGAAGACTGCACTGTGGAAATAAAGAATGCACTCACAAAATTAATAAATTAATAGAAAAAAGATTACTAAATTAATAGAAAAATCAATAGTATAATTGGTAAAATGTCCAGAGTCAAATCTTTCTTCTAAAATTTATATAGAAAATACTTAATTATGAAAATTTTCTGTACAGAAAATGGATTACATTGCTAAAAAACTAGCTTAAGAATTAGGCTAGTTAGATCAGCTAAATCCAATGATTTACCAAGTCTTGCTAATAATCAAGTAGGAAGACGCATTTTTCAAGCACTAGAATCTTTAAAAAAAATATTTAAGTATATAGTTTCAAAACCTGAAAAAAGAATCCAAAAAAGCAGGATGTGGACTGGAGGTTTGACTCAGTGGTAGAGCATCTGCTTAGCAAGTGCAACACCCTGAGTTCAAACCTCAGTGCTACCAAAAAAAATTAAAAAAAAAAAAAAGCAGGATGTACAGTATCCAACACATAGTGCTCTTATCCCAAGTCAATGAAAAAATTTTAGTGTGACTATACTTCAACAGGCTTAAAAAACAATAAATCTAATTATAATTAGAAGTCAAAGAACTCTGAGAAAAATCCTGACAGTATAAAAACAATTCTATGTGGCAAAGAATATGATTAAGAACCTGTTTTTTCAACATATGAAAAAAAGGTAATTATAAATTCCATCAAGAAAGTTCTCTAAAAACCATGCTTTACATATGAAGTTATCTAAATGATTTGAGTGTCTGACAGAATAAGAGAATAGGAAAAAAGAGTCCATTGATCTTGACATTTAGAACATTCTCCATCAAGCAGCAGCAGGTTAGTGACCTCAGACTCCATCTCTTCTTCTATAAGTGTAAATATGTTTATGCTTTGAGAATAACAGCTGCAAAAACAATCATAAAGGTTGTCTATCGGTTTTTAATTTTCATAAGTATCCTATAGATAAGGCAGAATTAATTATTAAAGAATAAAGTGAAGGCTGTGCAAGGTGACTCAAGTGTGTAATCCTAGTTACTTGGAGGTGGAGATCAAGAGTATTTGTGGTTCAAGGCAGCCTAGGCCAAAAAAGTTTTCAAGACCTCATCTCAACCAATGTCTGGGCACAATGACATATACCTGTCATCCCAGCTATGTGGGGAAGCACAAATAGGATGGCCACCATCCAGGCCAGACCGTATCTCAAAAATAACCACTGCAAAAAAGGGCTGGTGGAGTGACTCAAGTTGTAGAGCATCTGACTAATAAATGTGAGGTCCTGAGTTCAACCCCTAGTACTGCCAAAAGAAAAAAGAAAGAAAAAAAATGCAAATGTTATAAATGATATTTAATTGCTACCTGGAGTTAAGATAAAAGTTAGAAAGAAACTCAAGGACACCAATTTCCTTGTCTTAAACACTGAGGAAGTCAAGACATTTTATGGCAAGTCAATAGATCAAGCAATGCAAGCTTGACTATCCCTTAAAATTATACAGGCAACAAGTGAAAAATCACATTTAAAACAAAAGTAACAGGAGAGACAAGATGGCAGATTAGAAGCAAGCAGCACTTTCCTGCAGCTCTGAAGAAAACAGCCAGAAAATAGCTTCTCAGTGAAGTTGGTGACTGAGGGAACACACTGAAGTTTAACATTGGGCAGGGACCTGGGACTTGGGAGACCCAGAGACTCTGTCCTGTTGAAACAGAGAATAAGAAACAATGCATCAGTGCTGAGCCTGTTGTAGTGTGGTGGGGCAGAAAGAGAAGGAGTAACCTAAAGAGAAAGAGGAAGAGACACTAGTGATGGCGGGGGTGGGTAGGGGGTCGGGGGGGGGGAGGAACTGACACAGAAGCAGATGAAGAACAGAAAGGCAACTGAACTTAGTGCATCTGAAAGCTGTATAGTGTTGGTGTTTTAGCAGTGCTCTGCATTTCTCAATATGAAAGTGTGGTGCACTAACAGAGAACCATGTTGAGAAGGTCACAGACTTGTTTGCTGCCTTAGTCCTTACAGTTTCCTTTTCTTTGGTGCTCACAGTAAATATTGCCACACTGTCTACTTTTTGGCCAAGTGTGATCCTAGTGAATACCACTGAAGGAAGCTCATTGAAAAATACATGCAGTGGGATTCAGATTAGAGACACAGAATGAAGTAGACCTCACTTTCCTTTTAAGCCTGGGGACCCCAGTGACCAGCAAATGAGGGTCAGGAGACAGCAAGAACATGGGATTTTGTTCAGGGACTGGGCTCTGAAAACAATAGCTGTGGGTGGTAGAAAGCACAGGACCCACTGTGTCCCCTCTACCCAGCACAGCCATACAGATGGGCTTCACAGGGGAGAGGCTGAAATCCTGAGGTAGAGCAGAGCTCAGTGCCAGCCCTGACCTGGGGGTGCATGTTGAGTAAATTCCAGCCAAGCAAACTTCAGTTTCATGCTACCTTATACTAGCAAACAGGGGAACAAAGCTAGTCCAACTAGCTCTGGTTCCAAAGCACTCTGACGACCAGTAATTATCACACAAAAAAGAAAGGGGTGAATTTATTGTTCCCCAACCTTTGTTCTCTCCAAGGGGTGCATAGCCCAAGAAGACAGAAAGTGCAGATTGGCAGAGATAGTGAATATCTACTTTTGCTTGCACAACTACTACAGGGGAGACAATACTTCATTAAACTTAAAAAAAAAATTTAGACCCTTCATTCTTTTTGTATTTGTTGATTGGTTGATTTGATTCCTCTGTATGTATATATGTGTGTTCTTCTCCCTTTTTTCTTTCTTTCTTTATTCTCTTTTGGGTTTTGTTGTCATTGTTTCTCTTTCTCTCTTCCTCCCTTCTAATGGTCAAATTTGTTTATTCTCTACATCTCTTTCTTTGCTTTTTAAATTACATCCTTCACTTTCCACCTTTCTCCTGCTTTTTCCTTTTACACTTTTTGAATATTCTAATTTTTCTTTAGCTTTCCCTTTCCCAGCAGATAAAAGCAACC